TCTTTTGCACCAAAATAATCTTTCTCAATTTCATTTTCCAGAAAACTTTTGATGTCTTAAATATATACCTTTATGCATTTTAGAGTTTATGTGAAGATAACATAGTTCTGCAATTCAGTTTTTTTTCATTTTGTAATATTTTAAACAATTCTACACATTCTGGAACAAACTTATTAAGCCTATCCTTTCTCCTGCAAATGAACATTTTCCAGACCAGATTCCTAGATGGGACTATAGGTCTTTGGAATTACATGTTGTGATATCCATAGATATTTCATATGTTCTTTTGAAGAGCAAGGATCATTTATATACAACAAGGTCACACTGACATTCCTTACAGATTCACTATTTTGAGAGATTTCTTTTAATTCATATCATACAATTTATTAGTATAACCACTATTATACAATTATTAAATTATGAGTAAAGTCTTCTGTGACTACCAACATTGTATTGACTTAGTGAACAAGATGATATAAAGAAATCAAAATGATTTGAAATACCAGCATCCATGAGAAATTTAACATCAGCAAAATAAAATCATCAGTATGCTGAAAACAACACTTTCCCCTGCTTTTTGTCACTTGTCAGTTGATAGGCAGATAAAAATAAATAGCAACATGAAAAAGATAAGATTATTTTTTGAATAATAATTCTGTTCTGTCTCATGACTCTATCTATTTGACATTTGATCAAAGGCCTCAGAGTTTTATATCTAAAGATAAGTTCTAATTTTTGAATTCAGACAATAAGGAACAGTGAAACAAAAACTGTGAGAGCCAGTGAGGCTCATAACTAAATCTGTGAAACCTTCACCCTAACAAATCCCTTCCGTCTCATAAATTGTAGCCATGTGTCCTAAACAAAATGCCCAAAATGCTTACATTCTTCGAAGTTACAATTTAATGTTAATTTGTGGGAAGCAGGGCAATGCAGAACTATCATTTGCAGTATGTCAGTCTTAAACTTTGAAGTCTGGGAAATGATATTTGCAATACGTGAGCCCAGTTTTATTTTTCTGCAATTTTTTAGTTTTCAAAGGACATCAAAATATATGTCAACAAAAAAAAAGAAAATTCCAATCTTTGCTATATTTTCAAACATATCTGCTTTCTTATGTAGATAAGACATTTTTGCATAGCTTTCCAGGAATTTGATGGTATAATTTAAACTTGTATTCTTCAAAATAGGAATAAATTCACACACCATATGAAATTAGCTGTAAAATTTTCTCAATATTTCCTTTGTTAATCCTGGGAATAATAAGCAATTTTTCAATAATATAGGTAATTATTTTATTATTTTGGAAACAGAATTGCATCCCAAACTTAAGACATTACATCATGATTGTTTAATATTTAAAATACCTGAATTAACAACAAACAGTGTCACAAAGTGATCATCATGATTAAAAGCCTAATGTAGGCAGTTAAGTCTTTTTTTTCTTCTTTGGTTTTTTTTTTTTTTTTTAAGATTTATTTATTCTCATTGGAAATGTGGAGATACAGAGAGGAGGAGAGACAGAGAGGAAGATCTTCCATTCGTTGATTCACTCCCTAAGTGACCACAATGATCAGAGCTACGCTGATTCAAAACAAGGAGCCAGGAACTCTTCCAGGTCTCCCATGCGGGTGCAGGGTCCCAAAGCCTTAGGCCCTTTTCAGCTGCTTTCTCAGGCCACAGGCAGGGAGCTGGATGGGAAGAAGGGCCACCAGGATTAGAACTGGGATCCCGGTGCATGCAAGGCAATAACTTTAACCACTACGCTATCGCACCGGGTCCTCAAAGTCTTTTTCATATCACAACATTCTTTCCCTTTATTACCTAGTTTTAAAAAATTCAGAAAAATGTCTACATACTTAACAAGATCTACTTAATAGGTAAAAAAAAGAAAGTATTAATGTTTTACCTTGTAGTAAATTCAGTCTGCTTTTATGGAAATAGGAGGTGTGTTACTGGCAGTTACATGAAAAAATGTTTACTGTAGTAATTCATGTTTTATTATAAATATAGGTAAGCTGGTGAATTTTGAAGGAGGTTCTAACAATTCAACTTTTTCACCTAATTGTAATTGAAATTAGCATTCTCAAAAAATATCTATTCAGAAATTCATTAACTGATATTTTGGTTATTACCCTGTACAAATCAAGATATTGTTTGTTTTTGTTTTCTGGGTTTAGATATATGTTTAATACAAAGTGTTATCTTAGACCTTTTGAGAAATGAGAACATTTTTAAGTGATTATGCACATTCAAACATTAATCTAACTTGTTGCCAGTATGTGTTTCACCCTTATCTGTAACATACCATGGCAAGAATCCCATTTTGATTTGCTGAAAGATTTGAGCATCTGAACTACAGCTTCTCAATTACAGCAATAGACATAAATATGAAGGACAGCATTTCTCTTCCAACTGCTGTCAAACCAGGAGGCCTGGTGTGCTCAATCTGATGATTTGGCAACTTCGTGTGATGTATAAGTTACATTTGAATGTAGCACATCCCCAAACATTTCTCATCATCTTTCGTTACCTTCTTTTGTTAAAACTATTCTCATTGCGCTAAAGCATCTTACAAAATATCCAAAAGCTGAGTTTTAAAGCAAAATATCAAGTACCTTAGAAGAGTTCTTGTTTTCATAACAGCAGCTGTATAAATATTTTATGAAATGTACGATGCTGGTTGCTGTTTCCTCGAAGAACGAAAGACTCAAAAAAGGAAAGAAAAGAAAATGCAACATTTTGAAGTTTTTATCTGTATTCACTATTGAACATCCTATAGTTTTTCCTAAAGGACTACTCTGGAAAACTGTTTTAGGTATAATCAAAATACTTTCATGAAGACATCTGAAGCAAGCATTTTAACAAGACTGGTCAAGAAACAGACAGGAGCACCTACCAATTGCTTGTACTGCATTAGATGCTCTGGAAAATACAGAGAAATTGAGGTCACTGCCCTAGTCCTGTAATACTCATTTTTATTGAAAATTGCCTCTCAAGCAGGTTTAGAAGAGGACAGAGTAATTTTCCATTTAGACTATTTAAGTTTCCAAATACAAAATAGTTTGAATAGAAATCAGTCACATCTTTTTTATAAAAATGGGAGGAAATTAAATAATCTTATTAAAGCCAATATATATACATAGGCTTTATAAAAATATCACATAAAAATAAATGGTTATTCTAAACAATTAATAACATGCTTTCATTTTATCTGTTTACAAAATAGTGTTGTTATATGAATACAAAGCACCTTTTTCTTAATTATACTTTTTGAAATAAAAACAGGCTGAATATCTCAACATTAACTTATGTAGGGTTACACTGGGCATAATATCTCTGCCATAATAAATTGATGAAGATGTAGTTATGCTCTCTCCCGTCACCCCAAGGGTGGGCTGAAAATTTAAATGGTATTCCTAGTATCCTTCTGTTTTATCTGCCTCCTTGCAGAGCCTACAATGAAATACATTAAATATGGGATAAAGTAATGTATTTCATGCTCTCAAACACATTTTAGAGTGCCCAGAATAATAACAATCTGTGTCAGTGAGATGCATTATTTTGGTCTAATAATCCTCTGCATTTTTAGTCTGCATCAAAGGTGACATGGATGTAGATATGAAGTTTGATATTTTCCTCCTATTCTACATTTTCCTCCAACAATGATTCCAACTAGAAAAAAGGTGAAGAAAAATCAATACTTGATTAAAAGGATGCCTGTGTTTCTATACATTTATGATTTTGTTTATGCTAACACATGGATTTATTTATTTATACAACCAAAAGTGAGAAGTCATCGACTTGATGTAGAGTGTTCAGCTAATTTAAATAGTAGAAAAGCCACATCTGTATGTGCAGGAGACAGGCCACATTTTTATTTCAAATAATAATTCTTAAAACTTCATTCTCTGGTGCCAAGCAACAATATTCAACACTGACTAATAACAAATATAATTTGTAGGAAATATGTGTTTTGGTTCCACAAAGTGAGAAAGGAACACTGAACACCAGACCTAAAAATCACAGGAAAATATACATTATGGGATCAGGAAGTAAAGGTCCATTTCTCTAAGGCAAAATTGTGGAAATCCAAATTATTTTCAGGCGTTGTTTAAATAAATACCTATTGCAAACATTCTTGGAATCACATCCAACTGTCTACTCTTTTATTTTATTTTATTTTATTTTATTTTATTTGAAAACTGAAGTTACAAAGAGAAGGAAGGACAGAACAAGGTCTTCCATCCACTGGTTTACTCCTCAAGTGGCTGCAATGGCCAAAATTGAGAAAATCTGAAACCAGGAGCTTCTTTCAGGTCTCCACCATGGTTATTGTGTTCCAAGTACTTGTGCAATCTTCCACAGCTTTGCCAAGCCATAAGCAGGGAGCTGGATTGGAAGTGGAGCAACCGAACACAAACTGATGCCCACATTGGATGCCAGTGTTCCAGGCAGATTAGCCAACTATGCCACAGCAAAGCTCCCAACTAGTCACTCTTAACATAATTCATCAAACATTTGGTGATGGGCTTATGAAATGTTTTCAAAGATAAGGTCATTGATATCAAATATAAAAAGAAGAGTTGAGTTTCCAAAGTAAGTCCATGGCTTTCTGATGTTTAGAAAGGAGAACATAATTTTAATATTATAATTATTACTACAGTTACTAATAAAATTCTCATGTCAATGGTTGTTGTAAGTAGAAAATTTTGACTTATGTTCATTATAGCCTTGGCATGTCAGTAAATTAATTTTGGTTAATAATGATCACAAGTATGTATTTATACTATAGCTTAGCAAATCTTTTTATATAAAATTGGCCTTATTTGTTCTACCCTCAAAAGTATGTATTATTTTGAATATTTTATATAGGAAAGTAATATAGTTTCAAAGGTAGTGAGGATGTCCTAGCACTGTGGCCTAGCAAATTAATTCACCACCTATAATGCCAGTATTTCATACCAGATTGTTTATTTTATTTTTTTTTATTTTTTTTATTTTTGACATATTTTATTCAGATAACAGTTTCAACACACATGGTCCAAAACCATACAAATAATAAATCAATGTTAAAGATTGGTCTTTAAACATTATAGCCAACGATGCCACGCTTGCCTATGATCTCTCCGATATAAAACCACATCCACACCTCTGTGGCCACCAAGCCATTCAGCATAGCTTCCTTAACTGTGAGCTGTTTGAAGCTACCAGTCTGAGCACTGTGGATTATTTTTTTCAGGCTTTGAATCGCTGTAAGTATCTCAGCAGGGGTTGGAGAAACCAGCTCAACCTTGGCATAGTGCCAAAATGTGGCCAATCGAGGCTTCGAGTAGATTGTTGATTTTAGATCAGAGAATCTTTTCCAACTCTAGCTCCCCACTAATGTACCTGTGGAAGCTGTGGAATACGGCAGTGTGTTTGGGTCCTTGCCTTTCATTTGGGAGATCCAGATGGAGTTACAAGCTCCTGGTTTAAGCCTTGCCCAGCCCTGGCTATTGTAGCCATTTGGGGTGTTAACTAGAAGTTAAAAAATATTTTTCTCTCCCTCCCTCCTTCTTTCTCTAACTCTTTTAAATAAATAAATCTTAATATGTTTATATATACACATGCACATATGCATGAGTATATATATGCATATATATGCATAGATAATAAAGACAGTAATTAAAACAGTATTGGTATAAAAATGAATTAATAGGTCAATAGAACAAATCTAGGATCCTAGAAGTAAATCCGCATGTGCACAGCTACTGATCTTTGATTAAGGTGCACAGAACGCACATTAGAAAAATGATAGCCCTTTTAATAAATTGTATTTGGCAAATTAGGCATCCACATGCAGAAGGATAAAACTACATCTGAAACTTAGAAGAATACATATGGAAAATCCCTTCAGGAAGAGGGAATGGGCAAGGATTTTTCTGTATCAGACACAAAAACATCAGAAAAAAAGCCAAAAAATGGGCAAATAAGCCTTTATCAAGTTACTGAGTTTTGTTTGTTTGTTTTTACAGTAAAGGAAACCATCAGAATGGTAAAGAGACAGCTTACAGATTGAAAAAGAAATTTGAAAGTTATTCCTTGGCCAGTGGACTGATACACATAATATATAAGAAACTCAAATAACCCAATATCAAAGGGAAAACAGAGCCAAAACACACATGAAGTCACAAGTCATCCAATTTCAAAATGGGCAATAGTTTTAAATACAATTTTCATAGGGAAATATAAGAATGACTAGAAGGTACAGAAAAAAGATGCTCAATATCACTAATCAACAGGGAATTGCAAATCAAAAGCACAAAGTAATATCACCTCATTCCATTAAGATTGGCTAGCCTCAAAAAGATGAAAGATAACAAGCCCTGTCTAGAAATAGGAGAAAAGGGAATCCCAGTGCGCTGCTGATGGGATTGTAAATTTGTAAAGTCACAGTGGAAAACAGTTTGAAGATTCTCAGAAACTGAAGAAAAATCTGTCATATGATTCAGCAGTTCCATTACTGTGTGCGTTTCAAATGGAAATGAGAATCATCTGTTTAAGAGATATCTGTATTCACAAATGTATTGAAACACTACTCACAATTACCAAGAAATGGAAGTAACCTAACTGTCCCCCACCAATGAATAGATAGTGAATATGTGATTCACATAGAATGTATGTATTACTTATGGAATAGGGTGAAATCTCATCACTAACCACATGTGGATGTAACTGGAGGTCATTGTGTCAAATGAAATATTTCAAGCACCAAAGACAATAATAACATGTTCTCTCTCATACGTAGATTAAAAACATAATTTAATCCAAATTAACAACATAATGACATTTAATAGGATTAAGGAAGGAAGATATGCAGGGATAACTTAAAGAATTGACAGGTATTGATCATGATTGAATAAGAAGTTCTGGGTTTCTAGTCACAATGTGGTATTTTTAGATAATATTAACAGTATTTTGTAGATTGTCACTATAAATCAAAAATGCTTGAGAGAATTAATATATTTATTTCATTACACAATACACAATATAATCATATAATATCATGTTATTCCCCGAAATATACATATATAATTTTATTTTATATGTTAAAATTTATAATATACAGAAAAATTTAAAATAAATAAAGTAATCAGACACCAGGCTTAACAATTACTGAATCTTTGTATTTCACTCCTTAGAGACTAAAATCATTAAAACAAAATTATCTTTTGAATGTGTAGTTATACATATAACCATGAAACTGCATGTGTCACGCCAATATATTACTCAACAAATAATTATTCCTATTCACTAATCTTCACACAATTCTTTTTGATATCTCTCTGAAATGGGGGGTGGGGTATGGTTTGAAAATGTTTTCTGAAGAGCCAATATCAACTGTTTCTGCTTATAAAATACACACGCGCGCATGCACACACACACACACACTGTTCTCTGGGAATAGGTTCTCTCTCTAATGCATTCAATTTTATGAATAATTTAAAACTTTTAGTCTGTTTTTCTTTGTAGAATTTTTTCCCTTTAGATAGATGCCAACATGACCTTGATTTACTTACCATTAATCCTCAGCACATTTTGAGGATCATCTTTGAAACAAATGTCTCGCATTGCTTCTCTACATATTTTTACAAATTGAAAAATGTACCACTTTGAAAACCCTGAACAAAGCACATTGTCTGATTTACTGGCTCATTCTTTGAACTCCACTGTAACTACCCAGAAATCAAAGACTAATGGATTTGATTCTAATTCAGATAATTTTTTAAATGCCATTTATTAATTCATGTATTATTTCTGCAACATAAGTTAGAATATCTTGCAATAAAATACTTTTAGATTTGTCTTCTCTTTCTGCGGATCTCTATGCATCTCAGGACTTGAGACATGAGAGCAGTGTTTTATTAAAAAGATGTGGGGGTGGTGGCCAGCACCCTGGGCTTGCATCAGCTGGGATCCCACGTTGTGGCCATTTGGGGAGTGAATCAACAGATAGAAGATCTTTCTCTCTATATCTCCTTCTCTGTATGTCAGCCTTTGCCATAAAAATAAATTAATCTTTAAAAAAATATGCAGTGGACTAAGGATCAGGAGTCTAAGGCAAAACGTTTATTGCAGGCTTTCCTTAAACCCATTTTACCTGGGTCTTTAAACAACCATCAAGAACAGGCAATCTTGAGAATAGTATGGTAAGATGGTCACCCTAAAATGCTTCCTAATTCTCATGAATTTGCAGTCTTTTTATAGGTCATAAGCTGTAGTTGTTTTCCACGGATAAAAGCAAGCATGGGAAGAGTGGACCAGAAAGTAATGTGGAAAACCTGTCACCTTGGCAGTATTTCAAGGTGGCCTTTTGTGCGTCTGCCTTCTTTAGGTGCTTGCCTCCAAATCTTCTGGAATGCCAAAGGCACTGCAAGGTTTACGGCCTGGTCTCAGCACATGCTTCTCCAAGTCCCTCATGGCTATACCTTTCCAGAACTTTTTCCTTGAATTTTGAGTATCCCCACAAGCCCAGTAAAATTTAGCCATCTCATGAAAAGAAGTTAAATATAAACAGATTGTTTTGCTTTATAGATAATTGTAATGGTCTAGGGAGGCAACTGTTTTAGGATCATGTGTCTGGAAATCACATCTCTCCTGCCAAGTAATATTTTTTGCTCACTTGCATGTCAGGGAGTGCATACCCATCATTACCTGGGACTTGGGGTGGGGTGGGATTGCCTTGTTATGTGGCCACTTCGTCTCATGCCTGATAAAAGCCAGTGAGTGCAAGGAAGGACTTGTGCTTTTGCTAAATTGTGCTCTCTCACTGTCTTCACCCCTGCTCTTGGTCTCCCCTTCCTCCGCATTCTGTGCTTCCTACAGTCGACTCTAAGAACAAAAGGTAGCTTTCTGGCTTACTCTCCCTGAACATAGTCTATGTTAGTTTGTATTCCTTACCTTCTAAATAAACTTTGCCAGTGGGTGCCTGTGCTTCAAATGCTTTTTAAGTAAAAGGCTAGAACCTAGGGAATAAATAATTGGTCCAAACCTAGAACACAATACAATCTTGATTCTTAATTACTGTTCTTAAGTTTCCTATTTCTTCTATGCTGTAACTGACATATCTTAGCAGTACACAAATTACATTTTAGTCATACAAATATAACAAATTTGTCTGATATGACTGTTTTCAAGTTTTTTATAAACCTGAGCTTTTTTTAAGGTATTTTGACATTTATTCAATTATTTTCTTAATCCTAGTTATGAATAATAGAATTGTGCAGAATGTCCTCATTTTGGAGGGAAGCAGGATCACAGTTTTTAAATCTAAAAATTGGAGTAATTGTATATTTTTAATTTTTCCTTCACAGCTTAAATTCTGAATTTAGAAACTAGATCATAGTATTTTTTAGTAATAGTTCACAGGCAAAGAAGAGAGGACAAAAAACAGGACACTCAAATCCCATCATATATGTTTTCTTTGAATATTTATTTGCAGGGTAAAGTTTAAACACACACACGAGAGAGAGAGAGAGAGAGAGAGAATGAAAATCGTCTGTCTGATATCACTCTCTACATGGCAACAAGAGCTAAGGCTGGGGCAGGCTGATGCTATGAGGCAGGAGCTTCATCTGGGTCTCCTAATGGGTGACAAGAGCCCAAGTACTTAGGATTATCAACTGTCACAAGCTTAAATGCACTAACAGGGAGCTGGATCTGAAATGAATCTACCAGGACTCTAACTGGAGATGATGCTGATGCCGCAGGTTGTGGATTAGCTGTGCTAGACCACAACACTAACCCCATGATTCCATCATAGTTTTAAAACATCCACACATATACAAGCTGTAGACTTTTAGCATTTTTCTTGAAGAATAAAAGATGTTAAATGTGACAGGAAAACTACCAAAAAAAAAATACTGTAGGAATACATTCATAGCTTTAGAGATATGGGAATATATCTTACAGAAAGTACACTCAATAAAGTGACCAAAAAAGAATGATAAATGTAAAAATATCTCAAAAGTATTGTATTTCCAGGTCAATTTCTCTGTGAGAAATGTCAGCATTAATTTATATCCAAAGCTTCCAGTAAGACCTGTCGTGCATCTAATGTATACTGTTGAGTATCTCCATAAGCTTCAGTCAAGAAAGAGTACTTTACCATACTTATCTATTCTGAATTCCACCTGGTTTGAAGGATTTATAGTACTCAGGGTGCTGTATCAAACTATAAAATGTCATCTGACATTATCTCAAAACCACAATTCACATATAAGTCAAGTTTATCAGCATTTCATTTGCAATATGTGGGTTTTCATAGGCCTAAGCCACTTGTGTAAATAGGAATGCAGATTTTTGTTTCTTTGATGTTTATATCTTTAAAGATTTATTTGTTTGAAATGCAGATTTGAGTTAAAAAGAGAGAGAAGGAGACAGAAGTAAAGGCAGAAGGAGTTAAGCTGAAAGAGATCATCTGTCTGCTACCTCACTGCCCAAATGGTTTCAAGGCTAGGACTGGTCAGTCTGAATCCAGAAGTTGATAAATACATCTTGTTCTCCAAATGGGTGGTAGGTGCCCAACACTTGGAGACCATCTTCCACTGCCTTCCCAATAACATTAGTAGGCAGCCAGATCAGAAGGGGAGCAGCCAGTATTCAAGCTAGCATTCCAACATCTCAAATAGAAGCTTAACGCACTGACCCACAATGCTGGCCACTGGTATTAATATATTTTAATCTATTTATAAATGTATATTATATTTTATTTTATTTTATTAAATATTGAAAAATGAAAATGGTTAGCTGTAACTAAGGCTGGAAACAAAGGCACTAGTTATGCAGCTCATATCTTTTATTTTACATTTTTGAAGCTGAGTTTCAGAGGGGATTTGTGACCAGAAAAGACTCAGGAGAGTTCAGAATAGGAAGAAGCTCCTTGTCTTTAAACTTTTACAATCCATAATTCTTTTTTAAAGCTTTATTTATTTATTTATTTATTTGAAAAACAGAGCAGCTGACAGGAAGGCAGAAAAATATCTTCCATATGTTCAGTACCCGAATGAGTACAATATCCTGTTCTAGACCAGGCTGAAGCCAGGATCCACAAAGTCCAATTTCTGTCTGGAATGGGTAGCAGAGTCCTAAGTTCTTGGGTCATCCATCGTCTTGCCTTTCCAAATCCATTATCAAGAAACAAGTTTGGACACCAATTTTTATATGGGAACTCTAACATGAGATGCAAATTTTACAAGTGACAGCTAAAACTGTTGCTGTGTCACAATTCTGACAGTAATGCACATTTCTTAATCAAAATAAATGTACTCAAAGACTTCCATTATTTCAACCAGATTGAGCAATAGGATGAAGCAGTGTCTTACCAGTCATTGAAAATTGTTACATTAGTAAAATAGAAGAAATAACTAATAACTTCTTTAGTGATATTTGCAAATGTTTTTGTCTTGTCTTTTTGTTCAAATGCATGAGAGATTACATAAAATGATGGCTGGCAGCCTCAAAGGGTTAATATACTCTCTACATACAAAATATGAAAACACTGATAGATTCTAGGCATCTTCCCAAACAGGCCAAAATTAGTATAATCTAATCATGTTGGTTATACCCATATCCTTACTTTAAGCCAGATTTATTGCTATGGCTTCATTTGTGCACATTTTATCATGCAATAAATCAAATTTTAATTTGCTCAACTTTCAGTTTCCTCATGTAGGAGGATACTCTTTTTTCCTTCTCTTATCAAGTATTCATATACACAGAACCAAAAGGCCTCAGAAAATTTAACTTCTCAACCTCAAAAATCGTCAGCAATGACTAAAGGTAATGCGTTAATTCCAAGAGAGGCAAATTGATTTTAAGTTCCTTGTTAACTAGATAAAACAGGAAATGTGTCATTCTTGATGACAAATGTATAATGGGTCAGGCTGCCGTAGTATGCTTTGGTGTGAGCATTCTTCCACAGAATTACACAAAATGAACAATTAACTCCTATTTACCCAACTGTCACAAAAATCATAACTTAACCCTTAAGTTTCTTTCTACGTTCTTCCTACAAGTCATTTTTTGAAGTTATGCTTGCTTTTCAAAACATATTACTTAGCTTTAAAGGCTCCACAGGTCTTGTAAACTTTGGTGAGTAGGTTTCAATCATAGAATCCTAAGCAAGATTTGACATATTTAGAAATTGAAAATAACCTACTTGGGTTCCAATGACTGAGGCAAAGAACCTGCTGTATGATGTACCAATTAACAGTTCAAAGCCAGAGGACTGCGATGCTTTAGTGAAGAGAGGAAGGATGGTGGGACTGAGACGCAAAGTGAATCCTTGCAAAATTAGCATGATTGTAGCCAGGTTTTGTTGACATCCTATGTCCTTGTTGAATTTTCCACAGTTGACTGAAGTGGCTTAAAGAAAGAAAACAGATTGAAGAAGAGTTGTAGAAATGAATTTCAGTCAGAAATTCCAGAGTGGCAAGTCATACCTTGACTTTACTAATCAAGTTGAATAGATTAGTCAAAAAATAGGCAGCATGTATTGCTTGAATAGGGGTGGGTGCTAACAATCATTAAAAGCATAGTACAGCAATCCCCTAAGTTCTTCAGAGACTTTATTTTTATATTCCTTTGTCTTTGAGAGACCTCATCCTTCTCTACGGAATAAAGGCAATGAACACTGCTTGAGCAATTAGTCTTTTAATCAAGTACCCCCTGGTTCTTTGGAATTTTAGCAGGTAGGAATGTAGATACCATTTAAATATGCACAACTCACTCCACCCAGTTTCTCAGATCTTCTTTGTACGCTTTGAACAGAAACAAAGCCAAGTGAACCATTTGACTGCACTCTAAATGTGATATGTGAAGAATGCCCGTCTATTTTCATCCTGTGTTTGAAACTAATTAATTTTGAACTACAGTCATTCTTCAAGACTCAGTATAGTTAGACATTTTTAAATGTTGAGATTCAAAACTTATCAGGAAGTATTTTCTGCTCTGAGAATGCCTTCAATCTTTCTGGCCATAACTATCTCCTCAGAACTGTCTGTAGTTGGCTGGCTTTATGCCTTCATCATTTCTCACCTGGAGTTCTTCAGTAGTTTTCCACTCTTCCCTAGTTCCAACATTTGATCTATCCATTACAATAAGAGAACAGTATTTTTATAATAAGGAATACCTTGTATGATCTTCCTGCATAAGTATTCCAATGATCTACTAGAATCTAGACAGTAACCCTAAATACTTTTGCATTTACTCTAATTCCTACTTTTTTCCAGCTTTCTTCTCAACCATCATTCCTAACGTGCACCAAAAACCCCATACGTACTAAACTCTGCAGCATTTTCTGAATTATACTTTATTTTAGTCCCTCTTTTAAAAAAATCAAAATCATTTTAAATTTTTACTTTCTCCAAGGCTTAAATATTTTTATTAATGGAATCATTGTACACACTTATGATCTATGA